ACCTGGAAGCTGGGGGGTGGGGGGAGGGGGGCTTAACACCAAGAGCCTCGGGTCTGTGACTAAGCTGGTAGGGCTTAAAGCAGCCAGTCTCACTTTGTAACTGTCACTGTGACCCTCTCCTCGTGACTGAATCCCCAGAATTAATCCATTCTTCCTCTGACAGTGCCTGCTGAGCCCCTGGTGTGCCTGCCACCCTCCCCAGCCTCTGCCTGGGAGAGCTGACAAGTCAGAATGCCAGGAATATTGGAGGCTGTTGCAGAGCCAAGAACAATTTGCAGGCAGGTTCAATTTGTCCTTGACGCTTCCACACCAAGTGCTCCTGGATCAGAGATGCAGGGTAACTTGTTTGCTCCAGTCTGCCCTGTCCTGGGGCAACTGGAATCAGCCCAAAGGCCTCTGAGCCCCCAATGACATAAGCCCCATGTTTATCAGTCTGTTCCCAGGGATACTTAGACTGATCCACTGCTCTTTCCTGCGAAGATTAGTTCCTATTCAAAGGGGTGAGGTATTATTAGAAAGCCTTCTCTTTTTCTTTGGCTCAGAGGCACTCTTGCAGTATAGTGGCGCTGAAAGCTCAGATTTTTTCATCTCAGCTCTGCCACTTCCTGGCTGTGCAACCCTGGGCAGGCTACACAACCTCTCTGAACTTGTACTTCTTGATCTAGAAGATGAAGTTATCAGCAGGAAGATGGTCAGGGTGAAAGGTGAGCATAACGTGAGGTGTTTATATCTGTCCAAACCGTGGGAGGCACTCACAAAAATGACTCTCCCTCCTTGGTCATCACGTTTCTACTGCCACTAACTTCGGGGCCAGCAAGGTCTAAAAGAGCAAGTCCAGGCGTCAAGCGTCTTACTCTTCCACTTAATGAATCACCCTGACTTTTGGAGCTTTTAGTTCAGCGATGGTAAATGGGGGTAATAATGGGGAAACCAAGGAAAGGATTGAACACCAGCCTGGAAAGAATCCATGCTCAACGAGGTACGCCCTTGTTGGGGTGACTGTGACAGTGGCATCAGAGTGTGACGCCCCCAGGTCCTGAGCCCCCAGGTGCCCTGTGGTCGCCTGTCCTGAGAAGGTCTGAGCAGGGCTCTCCATTCTGCGCTCAGAGAGACCGAGAAACTTGTCCAGTGGCTTGACCCGGAGCCCATTCCTGGCTGCTGTCAGAAGTGTATGGGTGAGCTAGTGCTCATGCTCACACTAAAATGACTGAGATGCAGGGTTCCTAATGCGTTGTTTTTGAATTCTTCCACTAAGAGGCTACAGACAAGATCAATCCTTGCCATTTGCAGTCTGTGGAATCTGCTGTAATAGCTGCCACGCTTGGAGTGCTTCTGCCAGGTGCTGGGAGGGACAGATTGAGTGTAAAAGCTGCTCTTTGCAATGTGACTTTGCAGTTCCGCCTGCAAATGGCGGCATCTACTCCACCACCCCTTGAATGACTTGCATTGGCCAGTAGAATGTGGTACAAGAGATGTGGTGTCAGTTTAAAAGGCTGGACATGCTTCTGTTGCTCCTTTGGGTCCCTGCCATTTGGGGGTCCCAAGCTAGCCTGCTGGTAGCTGAGAGACATCCAATAACTCCAGCTGCCTTCACTGACTGCCAGACATGTAAATGAGGCCCTCCTCCACAGCCATCCCTCAGCTCCAGGCAAACCCCTGAGCCAGCCTGGCCTAGGTCAGCCACAGCTGCGCAAACTCCTGGGCTTCTTTAGTTCCTGAGTTTTGAGGAGCTTTGTTACACAGTAGTAGCTATCCAAAACACAGCACTGGCACATGGCTTTATTATCTTATTTCATGGTTAGAATGATAATCCTTTAGACTAGAGTTTATTAATCCCAGTGTACAGTAGAGGAAGCAAGATTTCCAAAGACATTAGCAAGTTAGCCACATTGTTGCCATTTGAAGTTGCTAGAACCGGAGGACATCATGCCTCAGCCTCCCAGATGGAGCAGCCTGAACTGGGTCCCCAATATTGCGCTTCTCCCAGGAAGCAGTTAATTTCAATACACCTCTGATGTGCTTGCAATGGGCCGTGTTCCCCCTGCTGCAGCACCTCTCCTCCTTCCTCCCCACCCCCTCCCCCAGCAAGAGTAACTACAGATGGGTATAAAACCGAGGGGCTGGAGCGGCCTCATCCAGGGCCTATCACTTCCATGCTGGGACAAATCATACTATGGAAGTAACATTTCTGGCCCCTCTCCTCTCTAAAAGCCTTAAAGAACTCAGGAGCAAGGTTTTTTTAATCTTAAAACCTGGCTTCCCATCAAGAATCTCTATCCATTCCAGCAAGTCTAAGAGCTGTAGCTTTGACCTTCCCTTGCTTGTTAATTAGGGTATTGGAGGAAAAACAGAGAAACCATGTGGACAGGCAGAAGGGGAGTTTTCAAAAATAAGTGCTCCTTAGGACCACTCAACTGAAAAATTTCATTAATTCATTAATTAAGATATTCAGCATGAGAATTCCAGGGAAAAGAACAAATACCATCTGTACTGTGTAAGGGCCAAATTTTTCTGTTAGCCTCTAAGACCCAGTAATGAACACATGCTCTGAATTATTCTCCAAATTAACTGCTTCCTGGGAGAA